GTTTGCTTTTTCGCGTTGTTGAATGCTCTTGATTTTCAGTACTTGGGTGCACATGGAGAAGCCGTTCTCTCGGAAACCGATGAAAAAATGAAGCACTTTGGTTTTGAAATCGATGATGTCAGTTGCTGCAAAGTGCTTCGACATCCACGCTGGAAACACAATGTATTTGCAGGCCTTATTTTCACGGATGCTCCGAAAGACCATCCAGTTTTAGCTCACTTTTAGATCCCCTCATTTTGATGCCTGTAACAGATGGAAATTCTGATTCTTTTGGATTATCGTACCGCAGTCTGCTCAATATATGATTTGACTTATGTGGTTCAGACTTCTGATTTTGGCAAAGAAAGAGCCGTTCAATAAACACCCTTTGGTTATCTTCCAGGATTTTTTCGGAATAGAGAAAGATCAAGAGGAGCAAGAAGTACAATACCGCAAAGCTAGGGAGTTAACTTCACAAGAAAGTAGGCGTTCGTTACGTTTACTGGTGATCTTTTTAAGATACTATCGATCAACAGTACTTCGGAAATGTGGATGAGAGAATATGTGTCCAGCAACCTGTGCGACCATTCGACAAGTTTGGTGAACCCTCTGAGTCATTGAGTGATAAGGATTTGGAAGAAATTGATCAACAGTATTTTGGTAAGCTGAGTTTGGAGTGAATTTGCTTCTAGTTAGGTTGAAAATTTTCGAAATATCGATAGCTCGGGTGCCTGTATTATTTGTTTAACCGTTTTGGCATTGTGAACTGGTCCCGACTGGTGAGTTTGTTAAGCCCTCAGGGCATTTACGAGTGAGCTTATCTAACATCTGCACTGGACTATGGATTCCTTTTCAACTTTGGGTGTTTTGACTGATAACCTTCAATCAACTGCGGAAGTTCATAACGCATCCTTGACTGCATATCTTACTATGAAGTATGAAAAGAAACGGATTTCAGTTGGTGGGAATATTTTACAAGCCGATTCTATGTTTGCGTCGTTTGCCACATTAGCGTTAACGAACTCCTTGTTATAACTCCGATCGTGTTGGTTGGATAGTTATCTAACTCATCAGAATCAACTGGATTTCGGTATTCTCTAGTCAATCCAGGTACCTCGCGAGCTTTTGCAAATTTGAACATGCAATCTAATTCACTCCAGTTGTTCAGCTGTAGCATCCTTTCGGTACCTAACTGCCATACCAACAGAAGGTAGCACAAGGGCTAGAATACTGCCAGGCTGCCAACGCCTAGACAGGAGAATTCGTGGGGCAGAGTTCGGATTCGGACCACGACCTTTCCGGTTAGTAGATTCGCAAATAGGCCAACTCGTCTTATTTTGGAAAAAGTCTTGGCTGTTAGCCAAGTGGCAGTTTGTCTGTTCCGCGAGCTTGGCCATTGGGTTGCAATCATTTTGCCAGCATGCAAATGGACATCTTCAGTACGCTGTCTGGTGGATAGGCGTTTTTCTCACTTGCTTAGTTAATGTCGGCGAAGTGACTGGTTGTTTCGTGATTTCCTGACACTTAAATTGATTGGTACCTTTTGATTTTGTGTTGCATTATGTTCCAATCATCTCGCATCTGGTTGCCTCGTGGAGCAACTCAATTTCAGTAGTTTTGTCCCTTCATTCCAATCGCTCCATTTTGCTTTTCTTGTGCGTTGCATTCTAGCCACTTCATGTCATGTGATTGGTCGGTTAAGCACCAATGTTTTGATACATTTCCTTGCCATGTAGGCATTCGAAAGGGTAGCATCTGTTACCGTCAACTGGTTCAATTAGGTCGGTGATCTCTAAGTTAATATGCTTGCTTATTCTAATCAAGTGCGGTGATCTTCACTGTGACCGATCCTGGATGCATTCATGCAGAAACACCCACCGCTTTTTTCAGTTTACTCGAACAGGTAAAAAGCAAGACCTTTGTATGATGGATATGCTACAAGCTTGCCTATCAGGCTAAAGAACCGTTGGTGTGTGCGATGTGTAGAGTTCCGGAACGGTAGTTCGGGGATCGGATACCGAATAGCGCGGGAAAAGCGATGTAACGGGACTTTCAGTAGAGTTTTTTGCTGAGCTCGCAAACGTTGATACCGATGTGTTTGAATCATACGTCCGGCTTAAGATCTGTGTTTCTTTTACACTCAGCGCGTCAAACAATATTTCTTGTCTTTCCGCACTTCAGTTGTTTTTCGGATGAAAAACCGTGCAGTAGTTGCAGCTACTACAAATTCGTTCACCGAGGATAGGAAGAATGAGTAAATGAAAGTCACGCGTTAGAGGCAACTGCCTAATCTGTGCTCTGGCGGCAGATAAATCTGTCCAGTACGGCAGGAAGGTGATAGCTCTGATTCAGGACTGCCACTAGCTGTGTGGCAGCCATATCTGCTGGGTTCATGGAAGATTTGTTTGTCTAGTCCTACGGTACCCATCCGGGAAGACGGCATTTCCCAACGCGACTGAGTTATAAGGTAGTAAACCGACCGTCCTTGCATCGTCTACGCCTGACGCAAGGCCAGGAAAGTGGACTCTACGAGGCGAACGATCCTCTGACATATGAAGTACGTAGCCTAACCTGCGGAGTATGACCACCTGATCTATAGAAGGGCAATGAATTTTCCCAAAAAACCATCTGGCCTAATGAAGCATTACTGGTCTGGTGTTCTCACCATACTCGCGCACTGCTTCGGAGGCAAGCATGGTCAAACACTTAGAGCCACAGGTAGCAGTCACGTCCTGACCCGTAAAATAGGACAGATCGGATCACGTGATTGTACACTCCACCCTTGATAGTCAAGCTGGTGTTATGTCGGCGCCACAAATGTCGGAGGTTAGCAAACGCTGTTCTAACCTCTCCAATTCAGGAAGTGGTTTCATTTTCCGCCGGTTCACCGTGACTTACTAGGCTACCAAGGTGGACAAACTTACCCACCACATCGATCAGTTCACCTTTATTCATAATGTCTGGGTTCGATCCCACTCAACACTTAATATACGGGGAGCGCATATCGATTTATGCAGCATAATTATTTGGATTTCTTAGAATAGTTTGCATTCCTAGGAAGAGCTGTATCTTCGACACGCTCATTGTCTGTGAGAGAACGCCCTTTGGTATTTCGATCCCCAAGGTGTTAGAGGCAGGAAATAAGTACTCAAGGAGCGTATCAACTACGAAGCTATGAAAAGGCGACAGACCTCCTTGTTTGACGCCACTGAATTTGGTGAACTCAGGAAAGAATTTGGCGTAGACACGTGCGCGTCCACTGGAAGAGGCATATAGAGCCTCTATAAGAGACAAAAGTTTAGAACGTAAATCCCTCATCGTCAGACTGCCGCAGCTTCTGACGATCAACGGAATCAGAAACATACGTGAGATCGAGAAAGATCATTTTTGTTGGTCGTTGGAAGAAGTGGTGAATTTCCAGAATATGTGACCGATCCAAACTTAGCCAGGATAAAACCCAGCTTGATTCTCGCGAATCTGACTCTCCCAATGGTAGAAAGTCACGATGGTAACTGGTTTCACTTGCGTTGTGAATTAAACGGGAAATACTAAGAAATAGCATCTATCGTAAGTGGGAATACCGTCGGGGATCGTCAGCAGCACCTGTCCTGAATGCGGGTGTTTCACTTCTGTATTGGTGAGAACATTCTAACAGCAGGTTCGTTCTTACGTGGAAATGATGCTTTTTAAATGTCTCTTAACAGCCCTACACTGTGGGACATCAGTTGTCACTATCGACGTTTTTAAATATTTCTTGTTCATAAACGGAGCCTCAGAATCAGACCGAAGTTCGTGATTTTCTTTTCTACTCATGTCGACACAACAGATGTCCCGATCCAAAAAAAGCCAACTTAACATTGACGCGCGATCACGGTCTATGCTTTACTTTGATGCGAAATGGCCTACTCAACCAGTTAGTTTATTCACTTCAGGGCCTCATTTTCTATTCCTAAGGACAGGAGGCACCCTACCGTTTCGTACCTAGTACGCCGGTCACAGTCGTGTCCAGCAACAAACTATACCTCAGCTGGAACTTTGCGCGTTCTGTCAGACGAATCCCAGACAGCAGCTCTCATCCTCGAGCTGACTGCCTTTCAAGAATTCAGTGTTCTACGCAAGGACGTGTTAGCGCTACTGCGAGGCATCAAGAAGTCACATTAATAGGTGGCTAACACCGCTGTAGTAATTGTCATTGTCACCTCAGTCCGATGCATTCACCATATTCACCACAAGGATCAGTGTGAAATACACAGCGAATTTTCAAACGGGCTCTTTTGTCAATATTGATGTGTTGTTAAGAGGTGAGGTGTTCTTTGTTTGTGTCCTTCGGATCTTCGATTCACACGATCAGTAGCCATTTTAACAGATAAGGTCACATCCCCAAGGTTATATTTGAATAACGTCTGCTGTGAATCCTTTTTCAGTTACTTACTTTATCCTGCCCTTGCTGTTTCCGGTATTCTCATCATTCTTACGAACCAATAAGCCAGCACAAGTGATATGAGGTGCTAGTTAAAGTTGATTGGCTGAAAACTTCAGGTTCTAGAACACCGAACCCCTCTTCGCTGGAACGTTCTTTTCTACTGACAATCCAATTACAAAAGTCAGGAGTACATTGAGCATGCAGTTAGTGTGCAACCGACTAACATGGCAGTCTTCAAAAGGTAATAAAATACAGATTTTCCTTCTGAGCACTTGACTTGGACCTGACTTGCAGTACTACAGCGTCCCCCTCTCCAGAGCAACCGCCGTTGATCAGTCTTGTCCACGGTTGTCGTTGGGAGGTTTTACTGCTCACAACAAAAGTTCGGGGAACGTTTGAGTTCCATTGGTTGAACATCGATGTCTCCAAAGCATTGTGGTTTTTGGAAGAAGCGGCTCACCCGGTCCACGCTCCATGCGTTAGACTGGCTAAGACACTATTCTTGCGTCAGGAGACCGTCTGCCCCGCAGGATATTCACCTACCCACGTACAAGGTGGAAACAGCCTAAGGATGGTCAGTCCATTACTTAGTAACGAAGTATGGTAACGCACTCTTTTTGGTGATTGTTTCCTTCCCGGTTGAGGATCTCGAGACGGGACACGCCAACAGTTAGTAACGGCTACTTACATCGCCCAATCACGCATCCAGTGCTGTAAATGCAGTTAAGCTGTTGTCTTCAGAGCACAGCTACCAAGGCTCCTTTTACTTGAGCAAAGTTGGATGATTTGACGTTTGTCAACTGGTTATGTGGTATCCAATGCGTAGTCCCCCTTGAACCATTTCCTTCCACCCCCGGATACCAAAATTACAACAGCTTGAACCAACGTACCTCGGTTTGAAATCTGAAAACGGGTTGTGTTTCAAATACGGGACATCTGAATGGTACCAGAGGTCTTCTATAGAGGAAAATGTCGGTAGCTCAGGTAGCGTAGATGGTCGTTGGCTTGTTCGCAGAGCTAGGGAATTTGATTGCAAGCGTTTCATCACCAATCGAGGTGACATCACCAGTGCGTTATTGGGGTTGGTGCGTAGCGGTGGGTTAGTGATTGTGTACCGGAGGGTCAACTGCGCCAGCTCCAGTGGCTTGGTACTTGAATCACTTATAAGAGTGAAGCGGTCATCTGTCAACAAGCAGGAACCTCTGTACAGTAAACATGGGATGGGCTATTATCTTGCACCTATCTACACAAGCTCCGTTTTGGCTTCATACGGGCCTATATAGTTTTTTTTCCACCCAACCGCGGTTACTATCTCATATACCTAACTTTATCATCACATTTATGGATGCCTATCAGAAACTGGCGACATTAACACTAGCACAGTCTCCACAGGACTCTGTTATGAGGTCACTGTTTCAGCAGCCCCACAGAGATTGTTCAATTCACATGCAGAACTATAGAGCCAGTGCTCTAGTACATTCCCTAGGCATTTCGGGACATTTGTTACAGCATACTGTCGCCCTTGAACCCACATTGGCTGCCTGTCAGTCGTACCTCAGCTAATTTCATTATGTAACGCCAATAATTTTCTGGATGGCATTTCTAATGGTATGTTCCGTTATTGTTTAAACCTCCTACACACCAGTCTGCCTTTGTTGTGCCGTTGAAGACCATGTAATCGAACAAGACACTGCATTTCGACTCTTGGTACCAGAACTTTTTGGATGAGCCAATTCTCGCCATCAGAACACAAGGATGATCTTTCATGTGCACCCCCTTCTGTAAATTCATCAATTCCAGTCCTTGATCTGAGTTACTGGTCTTCAAACAGCTAAAAGAAGGAAGACTTGTATGGGACACAAATCGTCCGTATTTCTAACTCGTGATGTTGCAATCTGTCTTTCTATGTTTTAGGAAATCCACTAACCCACTTGTTCTCATATATTGAACAGCAAAGTATTCGGGTCCGGGGTCAATCTCAATTGTGAATTATTCTAAGACATGATCCCTAAGATTAGTATCCACTCTCGAACGTTCAGTGGACAAAATACAGTCTAACCTAACTGTGTTTATCTCAAGAGATTCCCGTTAGCCGTAATTGTTGCTGTTGATTTCAGAAGACAAGACGACTGTCACTGTTTTCGCCATATTTTTTTCTCTTCAATGCAAATACAAAAATTATGCCATTCAAGCAAACAGAGTAAAAATGTGTAAAAGTGTGGAAACTTACTGCGTCACGGTCGATCGACTGATGGTCGCTTGGTCAGACCACAGAAGTTTAATCGAGCATGCAGACGCCTTCTGACTGCATAAACCTGCGTGAATGAATCCCAGTCGCCTGACTCGTGTCCCGACATCGAGTATTACAATGCAGTACTTGTTTTATTCAAGAATTTTTGGAATGCAATCATACAGATCGCTGCTCAGTATGCGAGGGTTTTGACTAGTCTTTCACACAGTAAATGGGACATACACGGTTTGTTTTAGTAATGTAAGCAATCAATGTGCAGACGTAATACACTACTCCTAGGGTTGCTGCAAATTCTTCGACAGTCCACGACCAGTTTCGCCCTTCTTGGGGCTTAAAAAAATCATTCAGCTGAGTTCCATGTGAGTCTCTTGCAAAACCAAATTTGTTTGCAACTGGGTGTTTCGCTAGTCAATGTGCACACTTTTCCTGGAAGTCAAAAAGCCGATGAATTACTCACTCATAAACGACCTTCGGCTCCAGTGCTTCACACTTTCCAAGCGGGTTCGACGTGTTCAGCACGTATAACATTCCGTTGACCCTCTTTTCAGTCTCAGTGCTCAATAAACTTGTCCTTTGGTTGCAGTCGGTCGCACCCCTTATTCCTGGGTGTAGCAGCACCGGAGAACTTCAGTTTGGGGATATATTTAACAGTGACCGTCAGGTGTGACTGACAAATTACGACTTGTGGATTCGTCAAACTGTGCTACAGAAAGGTCATGATGGTTATCGATTTCACTTGCGTTGTAGAAATCCAGGAATGGTTTCCATTTTTCACGCCGTTGTCTCTGTTAGTTACAAATCACAGTTGTATTTGTTGATCTCATTTTCTCAAAATCGTTTATTACCAGGAATATTCTTGTCTTATCGTAACTTTCCGGGCCCATACATTATTGGATCGTGCAACAGTCGTACACAATTTTTAAACAAAGCATGACAGTAATCATATATCTCACATTAGTAAGTACCCCTCAAGTATTTATTCCTGGAAAATCACGTGAACATATTTTCAGAATGCATGCGTTCAGCCATCCAGAAGGCACCCGGAAAGAGCGAACACTGTTGACTGAGACGGTAATCCATGCTTTCCTCCGCTACTAGACCTCCGTCTTTAGTGCCCTTCTTGAGGGAACTTTGGTTGGTGACATCATGTGCATCTTATTCTATCTTTTCGAATGCAAACCTAGCAGATGGTCACATGACGTGGCTACTTTGGTATTAGAGCTTATATTTATCAACTATACTCCTACTTCCTTCCTACTTTGACTGGTGTGTTATCTTCACTGGGTTTTATGAAAAATTCACACAAGTATTGACCTCTGTTGCTGTGTATTGTGCTGATGTTATCGAGTGTAGTGATAACCGAGTAACTCATGCCATACCATTGTAAATCATATATGGTTCTTAACGAGCGGTGCACCGGATACCCTGCTCTCTGTTTACCACTAGTCCATCGAGTAAACAAGCTTATCCTGCATCAGAATTTCACAAATGGCTCTCGTCCATGTGCTCTGGAGAGAGGCAGAGAGCGTAAGCCGGGGTTTTCACTCTACGGGTTTTAGGAATGTTTATTCACAATGGATGCGTGGATATTTGCCGAACAGTATGAAAGTTGGGGCAGTACGAGTGGAGTGGTTTATTGTACAAACGTCCTCCCTACTTTTGTTTGTGTTATAGAGAAACCTAAGCAAGTACGCAAGTGTATGAGAACGTTTCAATCAGTGTTGCATTTTTCTCTGCATATTTAGGTGACTCATGGAGGGGGTGCCTTATCAATAGTTCATTTAGAGCGCCGTTTCTCAAAGGATGCGATGAAAGGCTGTGGAGGATGATACAGTAAAGTTTATCAGGAGAACAGCGGTGAGGGATTTCAGAATTTGTTTTCCACTTGCTACCGCTGACGCGGTAGGTGTTATAGCATTTTCGAGTGAGACATCCTCCGTAAGCACCTTTTCTTCGATAGACTTCAGTTTTTGAGTGTGCTCAGGCGAACAGCTTTGGTCTAAGCTTTCACTGATGGCCAACTTGAAACATCCGTTGGATACTAAGTGGTTTCAGCACACAATCTATTCCAAATAAACTTATTGATCAGGACTAGTTACGAAGTTCATTTGATATGGCCCTTGTGATTGCGTGACATCCTATTAACATGGAAACTAGTCGGTCGTCGACGATAGCACGCCACCGCAAAAGATTTTGTACTACATGTTTTAGAAGTTCTTTCAAGATTTTCGGTCGCGAAAAGAAATATTTGGAAACTTTGTTAAAAACGTAAATCTCTCTTTCTGGAGGTCTAAAGTCGTGCTTCGCAATGAAAATTCAGTGTTCAACGTGACATTTTCTAGGTTTCTAGGTGGATTTCTCATCCTGCAACCTAGGGTCCACAGACTTTTCCCGAGTAGCAGTCGGTATCAGCCTCAGAAATCGCCAACCACCCACTGAACCTGTGTGCTGGCTGGCTCCGTCAGGTGCTTCATAGTTCAGGTGATCGAGCATCTCACCATATCCTGCTTACGGAAGCACTTCCCGAGGGAGCGTACCACAAGGTGGGCAACCCTTCACCTGGAGGCTAAGCATCAAAAACAAAATAAAGGGTCTTAGCCGCGCTGGCGTGTGTCTTATGTGAGATTGGAATATCGGAACCCATTTCATCATTAGCTGGAGGCAGTTCACGCAACCAGTACCTGGTTTCTTACTCTTCTGTTTTCACTTGTGTTCGGCATCCCTGTTGCGCTTCCCACACTATCCGCTGCCGCAGGTTTCGGCTACCGAGCCTCCATGAGTATATGTTATGGTTCGCAACTATCAAACGGGGCTCGCGTTTTAGCATTCTGTTTTCACTCTTCGTGTACTGCTTATAAACGTGCAAGTACAATTAAGTCGTGCGTATGGAGCAAAGAAGGCGATAGACTGAAAAGTTTGAAAGCCGTTAAGTTAAATTGCGTTACCGCCTTCATGTAGTCAGGTTTCCCACGATTCTTGACTAAGCCAATATATCAGTTGAATGCCTTCTTCCTCTGTTGTATCACACACCACATCTCTCCTAAGTCCGAAAACCGTGGCCAGGGAAATGCTCTGGTTTGCACGTGAAAGTCCAAGGTTTATGTTATTTATCGAATCAAAGATTGTTTTGATTCATTTTGTAGGATAACGTCAATTTCCAACAATAACACAACCATGGTTTGACTTGGCATGTGTTGCACTGCCTTTCTTTTACAGGTTCATCCGCAAAAATCGCCTCAGGACCGTATTCCCCAAGCTCACTGTCAGTGGCTTCAGATCTCCATGATGTCGAAGACTTTATTGATCGGAGCTACTTCGGAGTCCCAGAAGGCAATGGTTAGTGCACTCCATTATGTTTTTTTCTTGAATAACCTGTATGATCCTGTTAGCCTTTCATTTTTGTTGCTCTAGCGAAGTACTTTCGTGAGAACTTTTAATTCTTCTTGAAGTGGAATACCACATTCGAAGGATACAGGCTCCGTTCCCGAAGGCGGCAAATTGATAAGGAGTAACGGTCACTCTCATTTAACTGTGAAGGCCGCACATCGTGCACATATCCGTCGCAAGTAAATATTTGTCGGGGAAGACTGTTTTCTGCCTTTTGTGGCACCTGTAACGAAATGTGTTATATATGCCTGTCAAAACTTAGTTCCCGTGAATGGCCGCCTCCACAGGTCCTTTTCAACAATGTACGCAGGGTGACTTCAGATGGAGCGGACTGGGATTACCTTTTGTTTAAATTATCACTTAGTTTACGGACACAAGTGTCCTCATAGAGCCGTCAAATGGCTCCTTGAAAACTTCGTCGAAAGGTAAATGTAATGACACTGTCAAGTTCGTTTTAAATTGAGCGCCTGAAATGATATCGAATCATCCTAATGGGAAGCTGTGAAGGGGCTATTATTTAGCCGATGCAGATAGTCATTCGGAAACATTACTTAGTAATATTTCTCTTGTGTATGTACTGCTAACGAGCCTTGCTTTTACTTTTGTTTCTTCTTTCCTCCTTATTCAGACCCTTTGCCCAACGTCGCTAAAACATTACCCTCGAATCGATCCCGTAAACAAACTTTTCCCAAGGAGAAATCCTCACCTTTGCAGTCAGGCAACAGTTGTGATATCGAAGAGGGTGAGAATGAGGATTCCGTCCGAATCTCGGATGTGGTTAGAGATGTTCGTGAAAGAACACGCGTCAATTTGTGTACAGCACCCAGTACGTTATTTTTTTCTTTTCCTGTATCATATGTAAGTATTCTCCACACTGCGTCACTCATATCATTTGACATTACTGGCGGATTTAGTTTGGTCAGTCCTATTCTGCGTGTTGGTGCCATTGAGATCTATTGTTGTTCTAGCGAATTCCGTGCCCGAATTTTACTCTCATTTTTCTCAGACCTTGAACTTCCCTTCACAAAGGAAAAGAAAGATTTCAAGGATCGACCAGTTGACGGCAAAAACTCTCTACTACTGCGACAAAAGGACTCAATTAACTTCAGCCAACTCACAGAAGATGAAGCAGCCTCTGTACTTGCAAAATCCGTAATTGAGGTTCGAGGTCTGTCGTACAACACTTTCTGTCCTGTTAGTTTTTTTCTTATATAATACGATTCGAGGCTTATTTATCTCCATATTCCTTGCATGATGCTGTCAACTCTTTTTTCTATTCATCTTACCATGAACCACTTTTGGAATGGCATCGATCGTCGGAGACTTATGGTGATTGTATCCCAATAGTCATCGTCATCGACTGCATAACATCAGTGTCCAACACCGATGCTTCATTGCCGTAAAACCATGATTTATTTGAAAGCTTTATTGTAAAGAAAAGAATAAAGGTGGATGGGGAAGGGACTTGGTGCTAGCTTACCACAATCATTCAGAGGTGCCTACACCTCCAGACAATCACTCAGGCAATCTGGATAGAAACTGACAACAAGAACGCCACTGACATCGGTTGGCAGCCACATCTTGTAGTGTCTCCAACCAGGCACAGTGAGGATCACGCGGTCCCCATCTTGGAAGGCGAGTAGCACCGACAGCACCCAAGCGTTTCGT